AAATTAGCAACTTCTGTTCTGTTGAGACCCTTCGCTCTTTCAATTGATAAACCCTCAGCTTGTCTCAAAGTTATATCAGGATTTCTTTCAAGAAAGCTTTTTAGCCATTGAGGTCCAGCCATTTTACTCTCATTAATAAAGTTGTGCTTTAATCCCAACATTGTCTCAATTTTTCGAAGGCAAGTGCTATGCTATCTTCTGTCCAGTTGATGTTGATGAGGCATTCTGCTTATCTATAATAAATATATAAAACTGTGAAGTAGATATTTATTTAATTTACAACAAGTTATTTATTTATTATTTATTTAGTTATAAAGCCCACAACATCACACACAGTCATAAGTCCACCAACTATTTCACAAAATCCCACATCTAAAATGTGTGACAGTTAATGCAAGCATAAGTTTCTCAGTAAAAAAATCAAATAGAAATTAAAAAAAAAACACAACTAAAACACACACGACAATGCAAGCACACATTAAAATAAAATCAATTTTTTAACATAAACATAAAATAAAATCAAATTTTCAACAACTATGTGCAGAAAAAAAAAGAAAAGAAAATCATCAGAAAAAAAGAAATTAGGTTCTAGAAAGGCACCCCACAATGCTTTCTCTAAAACCGATCAGCCCACTACCGAATATATCCAGCTCTGGATACGCTGTGTTCAGTTTGTTGAAATCGCGAAGAATTCGAACGAGAGGTGCCTGAACTCCTAGGTTGGTTTTGGCAGATGGAATTTGGAATATATTGTTAATTTTAAACCTAGGGAATGAGTAAGGGACGACAAATTTGATTTCCTGTAAAAGGTCACTGTTCTGTAAATGGTTGTTGAGCAATTTATACAAGAATGTAACACCGGCTAGAGCTCTCCGATTGTTAAGAGATAACATATTAAATTTTTTAAGTCGCTGATGGTACGGTTGTCTATGTGAAAATCCTCTGCTTATGAAAGCTAGGTGTCGCGTAAAAGATCTTTGTATGCTTTCAACGCGTTGCGAATGGATCGCATATAGTGGATTCCATATAATACTACCAAACTCAACATGACTGCGCACCAGAGCGTTGTACAAAATTGTTTTAGTCGTACAACCAAAACAATCCGCATTCCGTTTAAGAAATCCAAGCATTAGTGCGGATGTGGTGACTACTTTATTGACCTGCGATGTAAACGTTAATTTTTGTCAATAATAACACCCAAGTCACGAATCTCCTGAACCTCCCTCAATGGCGCGCCGTCAAGCTTATACACAGTAACAAGTGGTTTTTTTTTCTTGTGTATTTAATATGAAAGCACTTATTTATATTGAGGATCATACCATTTAAAAAGCACCAATGTTGTATACCATTAAGGTCACTTTGCACTAGAGCAGCATCACAGACAGTGTTAATAACTTTATAAATTTTTAAATCATCAGCGAAGAGAGACGATTTACAGTGCTTTATATGATTCTTAACGTCGTTTACAAATAGTAAGAATAGCAACGGTCCCAAATGAGATCCTTGCGGTACACCAGATCGCGCAATATAGGGAGTAGACTCAGCGCCTCCAACAACTACTGACTGAGGCCTGTTACGAAGATAGGACCTAAACCAGTTTAGCAAATTCTCTCCCATTCCATAACCACGAAGCTTCTGAATCAGTAACGCGTGACTGACTTTGTCAAAGGCATTGCTAAAGTCAGTATATATGGCATCAATCTGGCGCCCACGATCTAATTCCTGACATGTTTCAGTAACAAAAGACATGAGGTTCGTTTGAATTGAACGGCCTTTTCTGAAACCATGTTGCTCATCAACGATACAGCCGTCTAAACATTTGGAGATTACGGGATACAGGACAGACTCAAAGAGCTTGGAAAAACAAGATAAAATACAAACAGGACGGTAATTTTTTACGTCGGTGATATCTCCCTTTTTATACACAGGTACAACACGAGACCTTTTCCATACTTCAGGAAAAACACCATCTTTAAGAGATCTATTATAAATAATAGTTAGGGGCAAAGATAACACAAATCTACATCGTTTTACAAAGATAGGAGGAATCGAGTCTGGCCCAGCTCCTTTGTTAGTATCAAGACCTTTTATTTTCTTAGATATTTCATCCTCTCTAAAGCTAAGGGACATTAGGCCGTCAACATTGCCGATGTCGTCTGGAGTGGAACTGCCAACAAGTGATTCATCACAAGTATATACAGATGAAAATTAATATGAAAAAAGATTAGCAATATCAGGTACAGAGAGTAGAGACAAAGTAAATTCGAATAAACATCAAAAAAACAGCAAAAACATAAAATCCGTCTTTGATTGTTAAGAAATTTTTAATCACTCTAGGGGCAACTATCCGCGACAGTTAGTAGGGCGACTATCCTTTTTGATGCGGATACTTGCCCTTTTTATTTGCGAAATAAATAAAAATTATTTAGCAATAAAACATGATAATCAGTGTAATTTAAACTCTAATGCATGCAAAGAAACAAAAAGTTGACTGAAACCACGATCAGTAATAAAAATATTCAATAGAAATTACTTACCAATATAATTATAACGCCCGTCAAAGTTTCGCCGCGGAAGATTTTTGCTCACACGGACAAAACACTTGGGCCTATTCCGATGGCTTACGTGGCATTTAAGCCTGAGGGGCAGTCACTACTTATTGTAGTAAAGCGCCAATACAACTTATAATCTTAACATAGTTTTTTAAACACCGGGGCATGTATCCGTCCGAGGCAAGTATCCGGCTTTTACCCTATTAGATTGACAAATTATTATGAAACAGATTCACAAATCTGAGGCTCAGACCTAAAAAGGTAGCGCCACTGATAATATAAGAGTTTATTTGTTAAAACAAATCTGTTAATAAATAATTTTTAAATAAGTACCTATTAAATTGTGTTTGCCCTGTGACGAACAATCATTTGATTAAAATAAGTTCAAATAAGTTACACTTAAAACCACATGTGACTTATAATTTAGATCAGTATGTTAGCTTAGTAGGCCCAGAATTATTAGAAAAAGATATGCCAATTTCATTAGTGTAGTACGGTACTTGTTAATCTGATGGTGTTGGTACACCAGAATGTAAGAGCGACCCGAGAGCATCATTAATGACATTTCAGTGTTAGAAGTACTCCAAGTTATTGGCATAGAAGGCTGATTACCTATTAAGCAGGAGGTGTCAAAACTTATACATATAAATACTGACGCGATAATTGCAATACAGCGCATGCGCGCGGTTTTGCTATCTTATGTAGCTGTAAGGCGCCTCATCATTTTCTTTAAACTTTTATTTGTTTCTATACATCCAATCCTGTAGAACAAAATATGTTGTGTTTGATTTTAAATAACACTGGCGATATTACACACATCCCTTTCTATATTCTCCACGAAACTATCCTATTTGACCTTACTTGTATCGTGTTAAACCCCTAAAGGCTCACCTTGCTATTTCATAAATTCGTTGAGTAATACGTGTCATCAATTTATTACTAAAATGTTTGTTCGTGATTGTTGAGCGGGTCAAATGTTTGATAACCTTTTGTAGTCAAAAAACGATTTTTCGTTGTTGATTGAAAGGTTTAGAATTTCATTACAAGTTGTACTATTTAGGTGCATTTTATATGGTACCTTGTTTAAAAAATATGTAATCATAAATAATAAGTTAGTTACTTGACGGCTCATTGGTCTAGTGGTTAGTAGTATTCCCTGACTGCGAATCCATGGGTCCCGGGTTCGATCGCCGGCTGAGACGAACATCGATGTGATGAGCATTTGGTGTTGTGCTTAGGTCTTGGGTGTTTAAATATGTATTTATATGTCTATCTATCTATAATATGTATGTATATCCGTTGCCTAGTACCCATAACACAAGCTTCACCAGCTTAGCATGGGACTAGGTCAATTGGTGTGAATTGGCTAAAAAAAAAAAAAAGTATCGCAATACAGCGAAGAAATGCCACTATTAAACTTCTATAGTCGTATTTTTAATTAGACGAAGCCAACTGACAGTAGCTAATGTCACTTTGTAAAATAATGTTGCCATATTTAAAGTAATAGTGATACGTTCAATTCTTGTTCAATCATATGAATGAACAATGAGTGTGAATAGTTAATAATTTCAAACTATAAAATAATATTATTTCTATTTTAAAAATTGTATAAAAGTGCTCTGATATAAGTTAGGTACTAGTAGTATGTAACTACATTCAGTTTTTTGACGGCTTATTCCAAAGCGCGGCGTGGTGACTAGTGCCATCACCGATCATTAATTCCGGAATTTTGCTAACGACAAGAGCGATTATTTTCGTGTTAATAAAAACGATAGCATTCTTATCGTGTATCTCGTGACATAAGGTTATCGATAAGGACAAATCTATTAATAAAGTTTTCCCTTTATTGTCTAAACGTAAAACATCCTTGCAATACACGGTCATCGCATTTGCCTAATAATATATTCAATTGACGGAAGTCTATATGCGTGCAGAATAAAGCCATCAATTTACAAAATGTCAACAAAGTACACAACCAATTCGACTTAGGGGCCTTCAAGAAAAGAGCGTACTAATTCTTGAAAGGCCGGCAACGCACTTGCGAGCCTTCTGGCAGTGTGAGTGTCCATGGGAGGCGGTATCACTTAACATCAGGGGAGCCTCCTGCCCGTTTGCCTCCAATTACATTAAAAAAAAAAAAAAGTATAACATAAAAAAGCAGCTTCTATATTCTATATGAAAATCACTAAATGGGTGTATGCCATTATGTAATGATAATATTAGGCAGCGTATATCACATGCCGATAAGCGATGATTGTATGTAATTTCGTTGTCATTTATTACATAACAAATTACATAACCATTTTCTTAAACTTCACTTACATTATCGGCGCCTGACAATATTTAATTAATTAAATTAATAAATGAACTCGTAAATAGATTCAGGCGTTTTGCTTAAAACGATGTATTGTTTCATACTTCCTAATATTTATATTTTAAAATTTCCAGTGAACACGGGCTATGACTCCGATTGCGAGGAATGGAGAAGCAGCCGGTCCCAGTTCTCAACGACAGCGTTTGACAGCCTCGCCCGCCCCACCAAAACTGCAATGGCTCTAACCCTCAGGAAACCACAGCGAGTAGAACCGGTCCCTCAATATTACCGCCTAAACGACACATCCAAACTAACACCCCTCCAATTCCGACCGAACAATTTCCTCCCCCGACCTCCGAGACTACCTAGAGCCAGCACAGACAAAAGAAACCTGATAGATCATAGGATGTACACCTCTTTACAAAACCTGGAGATGCCAAAGAAACTAAGCGAGCCAAAAAAGCAAAGTGAAAAGAAGAACTACTCAAATATTTCCAACAAGATAACTGGACTGACTAATAAATTGAGAGATTTCGGTAATGGCAACACCATTGGAAGGTTTAAAGCCCAATCGCACAGCGACGTAGCTAATTTAAAGCCAGTATTAAAAAGTCATGATGGAGCAAAGCGATCCGTTGTTCGGACGTGCAGTGCTGAGCCACCAAAGAAAGTTACATTCAGCGCGTTTGCAACTGTCCAAGTCGTCTGAACGTTGATAAGAATCGAGAAATCAAAGTTAAATCTAATTCTTTTATCGCAAATGATGTTATTTCGAACAATACAATTTTAAAAAGTTTATGTATAAAATTCACTGTCATAATGAAACCATCCGACAAAGTGACCTTTTCAAATACTTTTCAATTCTAGAATCTGCGCTAACAGATATAAATTTGATCTTTTATAGGAAGAGCCCTTAGAAGTAGATTTTCAGTCAAGTATTGAAGCACCTTGTAATATATTTTAAATAATATGCAGGTCGGGAAATCGTGTAAATATGTACTACTAAGCTTTTGTTGGTAACAAGTAATGTTGTATTAGCAAAAACCGATATTATTGATACAGTCAATTAAGCAATTTCATAATATAATTGTAATGTGTTAAATTGAATTTGTACACTAGAGTTGATTCATTAGTTTTATTGAGTCCCACTCACACGTCCCACATTTCACATTAAACAACGACTAAGAATGATTATAAAATTACTGAACACGATTTCTACTATTAGAATGTATGCGTTATATTGACGAAACAAAACAGAACACCATTATTACAAAAAAGATTTTTGTATTGGCTTCTAGAATTTTTTAAATTAAAAGTATCATAACTTCCTACCTTTTTAAAATCTCGTGACAAATCCCATCCATTACAATTCATATTATTCATTCTGTAAAAAGCAGTCAGTAGGAAAGTTACAACTCGCTGCTACATTTTCCCGTACCATGAATGCTATGCTGTTAATAAACTATCAAAGCGCGCTCCTATCGACTGCTTTTATTACCTTCATTAGGTTCTCTGGAGGCTGTAGGAACCCACCCAGCCCAAACATGACCTGAAGTGCTTGACCAATTGAAATGCCACCAATCTTTGTGAGAGAGATTGCCGTCGGTCAATTTCAGATGAATGTAAATCTGAAATATTGTTATTTATTTATTCTTTGTGAATAATTATTATAAGCAGTAGTCTGAGTACTCGCTTTGCACTTTGACCTTATATAAGGATCCTTGCACTGACGTAGGTGTATATTTTGTGAGTTTTAGTCACTTATAGCATATGTAATATATACTAATATGTAGTCTTTGAGTATACATTAAAAAAAACATTCGATTTAGTCGAAACGTCGATGTGAAACTTTTCTTAAACTAATGCAGCTTTTGTCGGCATAATTGTATAGACCGATTTAAGTCTATGTATAAAATTATAATCTACTCTCATATACTTATTATCTAATTTTATTGTCGTTGTATATATGATTTTATGATAATTTTAAATGCACTTTGTCTAACCTAGGCACTTTATTTTGCGCGCCATTTTGCTAATGTTTATCATAATTTTACTTGTATATAAGAATATGTAGATAGATAAATTATGTTATTATGTATAAAAGTATTTACCTTATTTAATAAGAACACTAATGTCATCTAGCTTCTAGAATGTTGTTGTGTTTAGCGAGTTTTTGAAAATAAAGATCTTTTTGTTGATGATTGTCGTTTGTAAAACCCAAAAACCCTTTTATTAATAACCAGATTTGTTTTAAATAGAATACCGTTCGAGAGAACAAACATTACTGCGCAGAGTATATGTTTTTTAATGGCTTAGTAACGAGACCTTTAAGCCAAGTCTGATTTTCGGTCACTTATTTTTCTGCATGTAATTTCATATGTTATTCTAACTTTACATTTATTTTCTTAAATCTTCCCCACGGCGGAGTACATATGAGCAAAACCAGAGACACCTTATGCAAGCTATTTGATGGTAGTTTTACGGAAGTTTGCATTTATGATTGTCTCAGCATCGATAAGTACCTTCTTTGTGAATTCTACAATGATAAAAATATCAGAAAACGATTATACTAGCCTACATAACGCTCTCAGAAATTATTTATGTGAAAGATAAAAAAATTGTGAGATTAATATAATATTTAAAACAAAAAGAAGCGTTATTTATTCTTCAAAACTCTATGGGCAAGATTAGACTTAGTTACTAAGTCTGAAATACATCGCCAATAATGTTTTGGAATTTAACATAAGAACAAAAAAAACTCACCGGCACCCATTATGTTTCTGCCTCATTGGTTTAATGGATCATGCTCCTCTGTTCTTGTTTCACAACGGGATCGAATCCTTGGTGTGGCTGAAAATATAAAGTTCCTTAGCGAGTTCTCTAAAAAAAAATACACTCGATTCGTTGCTACTAAAGTATGTCCGAACCAATGCGTCTTAGGGTCCGTTTTTATTGATAAAAGCTTTAAAAAGATACATAGGTAAAAGAACCACATTTTTTTTTAATGTGACGAGTTATAGGCAAACATGACATACACGAAGAGAAAATTACAAAAACTAATAGAAAATCGACTTTAAAGTCCTTCAAGAACAGCGTACCAATTCTTAAAAGGCCGGCAACGCACTTGCGAGCCTTCTGGCTATGTGAGTGTCCATGGGTATAAAAAATCAGATGAGCCTTCTTTCTACCCGTTTGCGTCCTCTTACGTTAAAAAAAAAGAGTTTAATCACCCCGCGCCGTACACGTTCGGGACGACGGGATTATCTAATAAACAGATCACCTGCGCCTAACCATACTTCTATTTATTTCTATTTATTTATCTTAATTATATATATTTAGTAGCAAGTTTAATTATTTCACCAATAACTATGTTCTTATCTATATTCCAATATTGCTTTTATAAAGCTGAATATTATACCTATATATTTTGTTGTACGTTATCTCTGTAACTACTTGTTCGAATTGCTAAACATTTTTGTATTGTCTATATCGAGGAAAGATGGCTAAATGGCAATTCCACTGATTTAAGGCGGGTAAAACTGTGGGGCATAGCTAGTTATATGTGTAAGGTGTTTGGGTTATCATAAACAATACATTCGTTGTGCGATACTAAACCTTATCGATAAATTGTCGTATTTTTACAGTTGTTCTTTGCTGCTTGTCGCATCAAAACGCAACGTAAGTTTTAATAATGAAATAATTTAACATTTCAATTAACAATATAAAGAATACACAGGTATTTAAATTTTTTATTTAGTTATGATCTGAAAGTCACAAGTGTCTCGGAAAAAAAATCAGTTTAAACTTTAATTTAAAAGGTTTTAATAGATTCTTAGCGGATTAAACAGATTTAGTTTCATGAATGATGGAATATTTTAGCTTGAATAACTAAACGGTCTTATGTACAGTTAGTTAGACTAAATATTTTTAGTAGGGTATTTATTTCTAAAAAAATAGTAGTAAAAATTATTTCTATAATTTTATAAGAACGACTAGCGCCTGCTGTAATTGGTAAAACATTTCGGTTCACACAAATTGCATTAAATTTTACAATTTGTGCGCTTCTTAATTTTTTGCTAAGAACCTGCTGCAAACTTTTATAATAACTTTAAATATAAGTCATTTAACGTATTAAGTGTTTAGTCTTTTTTAAACTACAGAAAGTAGTTTTGTATTAATCTTGCTTTGAAGAACGTATAAATATTAAAAAAAAGAAAAGAAAATTTAAATTATCATAAAACGCCTGGAGTTTTAAAAAAGCAAATATTTCCCAATTATGTCTTCCATTTTAAATAATATTATTAGATTATTTTAGTAAAACATTATAATTAATATTACTTTGATAACGTTATATTATATTTTAATAATGAGAAAACATGATATAAGAATTGACTATAATGAATTAACTCGTATTGTGTAACTTCTATATAAAATTCTACCTTTTAATTTTCACGCCATTATGTGTGGCAGAATATGCGAAGTTTAGATTGTACTGCCATAATAATGGAAATATATTATTATTATTATTATTATTAATAGATACTCCTTCATTCGTATATTAAAATAGCTTATTTATTTCCCTAGATTAAAACTATTTATTGCATTTATCTTATTAAAAAACGATAAGTACCAAATTGTGATTGCATATTTTATCATCATAATTCACTTCTGTATCAGACTTATTAAAAACTTCTTTATAATAATTATGATTGTACAATATAATGATTTAGGACTTCTCTACCTAATAAATAACCTAGATTTATTTATTACAGAAAATGTCGGTCGCAAGCACATTTGAGTCTAGCAAAATTGTTCCAGAGGTCATCCCCGTCGCCCCATCAAAAACCATAGAGGTGAGGTCTAAAATAACTTGAACGTTGCGTAACTTTTATACAAGGAGTGCGATTTGACCTTGAGGTAGTGCGGCTGAACCTGAACCAACACTTATTATGTGCCTCTTATGACAAATGAAAAAATCATTGCCTAAAGCGTTTGAATTAGATGGAAGATGTAAGAAATTAAGAATGTGATATCTCTTTCATAATGGGGCATAGACATAATTAAAAACGAAAATATAAGCCCACGTTATAGGCACACAAAGTCTTCAAAAACTTATCCATCATAAACACCAGATCGACCAAATCATGTTGGCGTTCCTAGAAGAGTTTTAAATGTAATTATAACATATTTTATTCCAAATTATAAACACACTGATTAGTGACGATAAACCTAATTAAATATTTCAAGATAAAGTTATACAATTCTTTATAAGTTATACAATCGTATTTTTGTTTATCGAAATAAGCAAAAATATGCGATAATGTGAGCCAAGGTCGCACAGTTCTCGTAATTGTCATACGCGACTTTGCACGTACGAAAACCCGTAGTTTAAAATAACAAGTAATTCGCCTGGTCAGCAACTTCGCCTCGGCAATGGATTTTTCTTTCAAAGCATTTAACATTTGCTATATTTACCTACACCCCACGATATACTACACCTACATATAAAGGAAGCATGTCTATAAAACAAATGACGATCGAAGACGCATGGATTTCATTGGGAATGGGAAGGAATGAGTAGCCAAAGCATGGACCTGGGGATGAAATAGTTAAATATGTAAAAATACAAAGTTTGTCTGGAAATATAAAGTATGATAAAGTTACGCACCTACAAATTACGCACGCGCGTTAAAATATAAAAGTGCTATA